GACAAAATGTCCTTTTCTTCGGTACAAGTCATCGCTTGGAGTTGTACTCTTGCGACTGAAGCTGTTGTTATTGTCGTGGGAAACTTGCTCATAATTATACTTTTTGCACTTAACAAGAAACTACGATCTAAGAAAAGTTTATATCTTGTTTTGAATATGGCATTTGCTGATCTGTTTCTGGGAGCTGTATGTCTCCTTATGTATATCTATTTCCTGGCTCACGGTCAGGTTAGAGTTGATGAAAAAACTCCAACGTTTTTTACAATAATTTTTTTCGTCTTCGCTCTAGCATCATTCATTACCGCTGCTTTGATATCTTGTGAGAGATTTTACGCCATCTATTGGCCGCTGAAGCACCGGCAGACACTTTCTACGCGAACATACAGGCTCGTTATTTTGACAGTGTGGACATTAAGTATCCTTGGGACTCTTTTTATAGTTTTTCTCCTGCAATTCGTAAGCCTGGTGGCTCCGAGTTCTTTAGTGTGTTTAATTTCCGTGTCTGTACTTCTAATCACCAGCGGCCTGAATTTTGGTGTTTGGAGAAAGATTCAGCAACAACCTGTTCCTCATCACCAAAACAGAGCCTTGCAAAGACGACGCTTAACGAAGACCTTGTTATTAGTGTCTCTCATCGCCTTGGGTTCTTGGCTTCCACCTTTGGTTTATTCCTTGATAGCCTTTCTTGGATATAGGATGTCTAACACCATTTCCCTCATAACATACTTTACCTATTTCTCCAACTCGTTTATCAATCCAATAGTGTACGCACTAAGAATTCCTGATTTCAAAGAGGCTCTCAGTTTATGCTGTTTTACAAGACACGAAGTGATGAGCAGCCAAGAAAATGCAGCAAGGGATGAGATGGCTGCAGATTTGGCGCCAGTGATACAGAGACGAACATTGACAATGGATCACAATATTTTATCGCTCACTTTTGAACAGGAAATTGTACAAGATACAAAATTGTGATATACAATGGAAGAGCGACAAAAATGGTAAAAAAAGGATCGTGGATTGTCATGGCGTAGCCCGCAGAAAACATTACGGTGCCGAATTCAATTGATAACTCAATACTGCTTGAGGCGAACTTCAGCTGAGCTTTGTCATCCATTAAATTGGTAAAAGATAAATTTTTGGCGCCTTTCCTTTTTCCGGTCTGTTAGGTAGGCTAGCTAGAGATTAAATCGATGTACATGAGGGTATAAACATGGCTGTAACGCTTACAAAACACACCAAAAACCGTGTTTTATTCTTTAAGAACAAATGAAAGAATATTGCTGGTTGTGCAGACAAACAGTGATGATGACAATGATTAAATAAATGTGGCAATGGAGAAAATATCCTAACCCACCCATGGAGGGTCATTGGATCTGATTCCGAAGGGTAGTAAGGTCTTAGAAGCCATATAAGTCATAAGCTAAACTAGCACTTTCCGAGGGTTGGGAGACAGGGATCGAACCAATATGCCCTTTTTTTGGTGGGGGGGGGGGGGGGGGGGGAGGGTGTGGTTTTTTCTCTACCTTTTTTTTTATTTTTTTTGAGCCCAAGAAATAAAACAAAAAAAATATATCGCGGAGCGGCCCCACTGTGGGACACAAAAAACCAAGTACGAAGTAATACCACNNNGATGGAAAGAAGAAAAAACCCCCCCCTCAGGGGGGGGTGTGATGCGTTTTTAAGAGGAGGAGATAGGAGTTGGAAAAAATAATAAGAAAAAAAACAAAAACATATGTTGGGGGGGGGGGGGAGGGAGGGAACAAAACATTTGCTTTTTTTTGGGGGGGGGGGGGGGGGGGGTGCAGAGGTTATGGATTTGCATCATCCTTTTCAGTTACATTATTATGACCCATAATAATCCCAAAAAAATAATTGCATGGGCCGGGCCTCTCGTAGGACGCAAAGATCGATCGATCGATCGATCAATCCGAAGATGTCTTAGTAGAAAATCCAGTTCGTGTGATTTCTGTTGTTGTTGTTTAACGATACATATTTCTATTAGTCCCCTCATTTTTGTTGTTTAAACAGAAGGACTAGAGTCTGTCTTCAAATTCAGTAACTGCCTGGTTTGTACTGTCGCACTTTGTAATAATCGTCGCACTTTGTAATACCAGTCGCACTTTGTAATAAAATTGTCACACTT